AAACAAGAAGAGTAAAGGGTGAGAGGAGACAGTTTGTTCCCAAGCTCCAAGGAATACTCTTCTCACTTGGCACTAGGACCTGGTCCTTAATCCTGATAATCCAGATTTTACACAAGACTGTAAGTGAAAATTACTATTTCAAATTCCAGGAGGTTCTTATCTGTTGCACCCTTGAGCAAAGAATTGAACATTAATTGCTCCCATAAAATCCAGTTATACAAACAACTGAAACTTTGGATAAGATTATGAAATAAACATATTAACTAGTCACAGCACTTGTCAAAGTCAGTCGCTTGCAGAGCAGAGTTTATATACTAGGTGATCATGCCGACGCGGTTTGTTTTCGTAATACCAGGTCTTCTGTGGCAATGGGGACCCAGGTGCCAGTTTACTGACATGAGCTCACTCTGCCAAAGAGTTACATCAGCTCAGCTCCGTGCCCCCCCTGGACCCCTCCTGGGACAGCCCCCCCGCCCATTCTCACAGGTTGGGGATTGCACCTATTAGGGTTTCTCACTGGGGACCACTGAGGAAACAATGGAAGCCGCAGCCGTACATCAGTGTGCGTCAGCGGTCAGTATGAAACAGGAGGTTTGTTTTCCTCTTTTCATGCTACTCCTCTGATCCCCGTCTCCTAATTCTTACTAACACAGCTTCCACATCTCTTCTTGTGGCATCTTCCTACAATCCTGTAGTGAGTGGTACTCTGTTACATATCCAGACCAAGTTAAGCCATCAAAATAACTTAAACCATCTTGCCAACCTGGTCTGTAAATCTTCTGTTGTCTGTGGTTGTTCATATAAGTTTATATCAGTGTACACATGTACAGAAAAAAGAGAAAAAATAAAAACTATGTAGAACAAAAATGTGTATGGAACCCTATTATTAAAGGCTAGGTTCCGGAAAGGCCCGTTTTATTACTACACAGGCTTTTGTATTTGTGTCAGCAGTAGAATTTGCTCTGTTGTAGAGCATTTCCAGCAGTCTAGGGGGAATCCCAGAAAGATGATGTAATACCACTCTGATGCAACAGTATGCAGAGCGAGCTGTAAACTGCGTTTCATAAAGCAGAAACCATTAAGGTCTAAATGCAGCACAGTGTTATAGCTTTTAAGGAAGAATGTTGACTCAAATTTTTTGCATTAACTGACTATCCTTATTTATTTGGTACATAAGTAAATTTAGATATAAAATATTTGTTTAAATTCTAAGTAGTCTAAATGTTCTGTTTTAGTAGAATTAAAAGTTTTTAATTTTATTGAAATTTACAGTGCTCACAGAAAGTATCTAAGTGACATAGGCAGCTGCCTATTCTGAGGGGGCGCCGACTTGCCAGCCAATTTCACTTTGCCTCAGCTGGAGGCCATCGGCGGAGATTCTCACCTAGGGCGCCGCACTGGCTAGGACTGGTACTGAAATAACTTATTTAAAATGAGCATCAAGTAAGGAAATAAATGACTTGTCAAATGCAAAGGTAACAGAAACACACCTCCACTGCATCCTGTAAAAAGTATCAGTTTCATTGTAACATGTCTGTATCCTGCTGAACACATTTAAAATTGGTTCAGAAAGCAAAGAAAAACAATACAATGTTCAAAGGCTTTTTATTTGATAAACTTTTAAGAAATGTGTGGTAAATCATGCATTTTTCATGTATTTTGTAAATCATACATTATTACCAATATGTTACAACATTACTTTTATACGTCTTGCACTTTGTCTTGCTTGATCGTCTCCCTTACCTTTGGCTGGTGACACCAGTGACCTCTGGAATGGACTGATAGGTTGTTTTTCATGTAGTACCAGGCACCATTGGGGTTGTTAGGTCTAGTCTTCTCCAGTGTCCTTGACTGTAGAGCTTAAGGAACGTTATCTGTGTGGAGGACACTTCACATGGGTTGAGGCACTAAAACAAACTTGCACACTTTCTACAGATCCAAGAGTGCTCATCTTTTTATTTTTCTTGTTTCATACATCTGTTTTTTTTTTTTAATCTATTATACATTAATCAGTACAGAACTTGATTGTCTCCAGAGTTAGCCAACAGCCAGCAGAATCCAACAAATGTGTTGTAGTGTTTTTTTAAAGTTCACACTATGTAAATAGTGCACACATTATGTTCATTTTCAGATTTACTATGTGACACATTCTGTGTCATACAGTATCTATGATGATGGGGACAACACGCTAAAAGTATAACATATTTCTTTAGAAAGATACAAGATCTGTGAGCATTTTATGGCTTAAAAGTGTACAATGGGGGTTCAGAAGAATTGCTGGTTTGATTCCTGCTCCCGGCAGATCAATCACACCACCATTAGGGCCTTGAATAAGAACTTTAAGCTTAACCACTTCAGGGACGCTAAACACTAACTGATTGTAAAATGCCACGCTTATAAAATAAAGAGAACAAAATAATGCCTGAACACTTTATTCAGATTTCCGCACTCCTTACGAACACACGCACCGAAAACAGAAACTCCAGGTCTTTTTTTTATTTTATCCCCCTGGGAGCCTCGATGGCCCCCTCTTGGATCCAAAATAAACACTGTCAACTTACAACAATAAGAAACAAACATTACACTGATCATGTGATCTGTTCCCAAATTTAACTATCACCTGTGTCTATCATGAGACTAAGGTGTGCAATGTGAAAAAGATAATTTTTTGACCCAGGGATCAATAAAGTCCAACAATAATTATTATTATAAGACATTAGCTAGCTGGCTGGATAGCCATCGTTAGATTATTATGCAAAATGCTTTGGCTATACCCTTGGCCGGTCATTAACTCTCCACAAACTCAGTTTGCTAGCATTACATATCTGTAGAAATGGGAAGTCATGCCATTCTCCTCAGCAATCGATGATTTGCAATTTTTCCATTGCGCAATGTGCTTTTTCCAAGGCGCCTTGCACAGAAATTCCTTACTATTTATGTATGCTGACTTAGCAGATAATTGGGGGGGAGGGGTAGTTGCTATGGACTCAGATGGACTGGGGAAGACTTTTTGAGTCACAAGTTCTGAGTCAAGATCAAGTAAAACCTCATGCCAGTCTATAAAAAGACCAAGTTCATTCATATATGGACTTCAGTTTTACAACTCAGGCAGCTTTTCTAATCATACATGTAGGTATTTTTTCCTTGATGACTAGATGTTGCTATGCTCACATTCTAAATGCAACCAACTTACGTTTCTTTGTTCTTCAAAAAATATTAAGACGGGTATTATGTAAAAAAGCAGAATGCTGTTGTGTCTCTGATCTCATTTTTGTCATAATAATAATACATAATGATACAGGTACCCAACAATTTTATTATTCATTATTATTTTGGTAATAATTAGATAATATTTCATTATATAACTACATTAGGTGAACAACTTTGGGTCTGTGTAGTTACATGAACCATTTTTCTCTTTGTGAAGCTTGTCATGTGGAGAATAAATAATAGACTAACGATAAACAGCAAACAGGCTAGCCACATGTCCAGTTAACGCAGGTTACGTGTTTTCCCACTTGTCAGCCATGTAAGACTATGATTCTCATTTTCCAATGGAAGATAAGCATCCCTAATGGGACCCCCTTCCCAAAGGTTTACCTGAAGTGTCTCTGTGGCTCTTAAGAGGCTCATTGCACCACTTTTTTATAATGATAAACATGTCAGCTTGCTAGCCTGATGCTCCCCAGGTTTGCTACGCACATGCGGCATGCATACACACACACGCGCACACACACAGTCATAAACACACACACAGGTATGTAATTATATCTTTGTGGGGACTCTCCATTCATTTCTGTGGGGAAAATTCTAATCCCAACATGACAACCATAACCCCTACCGGGCCCTAAGCTTAACCATAAGTAACCAAACAAAATATGACACTTTTGGTATTGCATTTTTGATTACATTCACAGATCTTTGTGGGGACCTGAAAAATGGTCCCCACAATGTCAAACTTGGTGACAAAATCACACCACAGACTCAACTACTTATTTTTTTCAGCCCAAAGTTTCATCAGTCTTTAATCGACTCGTGACATTTCTAAGACCAAATGAACAAACAGAAAGAAAAATCTATTTGCCACTTAACATCATTTTTCCTCCAATCGATCTAATCATGCATACCTGTCAGACACCTGTCATCGTCTTATCATTCCGTATCGCTCGCTGTGAACATTGAGTGGGTGAGCTACTCTGGCACACTTGTGGTAGGTCTGTAGGCCTGTGGTAGGTCACAGAGAGTCATCAAATGGTTATAAGCCTGGAGAATGCGGAAGATTGAGATGTAAAACTCATTGTGATTGGCCCAGCCATTAACTTGGTCTGGTCACCTGACCAGGGTCACGCCAGGACCAATATCCAAGATGCAACAGACTTAACAGGCTGGTGCAGGGCGGAAGAACAACACACAGTTATTTAGATTACAGAAACCCAGGGATGAGCAGGTGGAGGGTCCTGACTGGCCGTCGTTAATCATTGCCCTAAATTAAAATGTCACACCATAGGTCACCTAAACCTTTGCTTGTCTGTCTCTAGCAGGAAGGATGCAGAAACAAGTGGAAGTTTCATTTCAATGGCATTTAGAATTTAGTTCCTAGAATGTCTGCAGAATGGAAAGTTCATTGCAATAAGTCAAAAATAAATGTGTCTAAAAGACGTCAAAAAACAATCTGAATTCACCTAAACACCACAGTGTCGACCATTGCTACAGGACAGGTTAGAAGCCCATTCCTTCAGTAGATACAATAGAAAGGCAGATGTAATGAGACAGCATACTTTGTGCTTTCCACATCCACCTCATTCCCCATGAGGAAACACTTATCCATGTCACTCTGTGTTTTCAACCCAAGTGTGGGGAGATGGGTTTTAGTTCTCAGCCCCAGCAGTCTCTCTCGTCCCATTGTTTGCTGCTTCCTCCTATCTGGCTCCACCCCCTCATTTGCACATGAAAAGGGCGAGATGATCAATGCAAAAAAAGTCAGTGCACTCCAGTGAGAATAATCTGTTATGTGTATATTTAATGTATGCAACGCCACAGCAGGAAAACTGATCAATTTAGTAATGCAAGGTAAACATATTAGTATACTCTGATTAACATCCACATATGAAAATATATCATCATAAAAAGCACATTTTTATTCACTCATATTTGCTTTGGATAAGCTCGTACTTTTAGGCTTTTAGGTTTTTACTGTAGTCTCACATTGTTATCCTCAAAACTTTTTGTGTAGCATTGTTTCTAACAAAAGGAAATCTGGTGTGCCGTCAAAAATGCAGTGAGGAAGCATGACGTTTCCACTTAAGCTACCTCACCGGATATCCCATTCCACAATGCAACAGGACTTGACATCCCATGCCAGAAAGTTTATTTTCCTTTTTCACAATGTGATGACAAACCTAAATAATCAAGCCTGGTAAATTTCATTCACACATACATTGTTTATAAGTGTCTGTGCTTATCTGTTGAACAGAATGGCCTCTTTACTATGCAGATTAATAAAAGCTTTTGTGCTGTTACTAGTGATGGCACTCTCCTATCCTCCTCTGCTTACCATAGTTACATTCCAGTAATTTCCTTCACTTATGAGAACAATCAGCGAAAAGCAAGCTAAGGAAAGAAAACAATCACCAACACAATGAAGAGACATTTCTCAAAGATCAAGTTTTTTTTACCTACGTTCTTCACCTGGAATGAAACTTTAAACCGTCATATTAAGTCATCACAATACTCATTTTAGTAGATGATAAAGAACTTCTTTATCTGCTGTTCAGTAACAGTTATTTATTCCTGAGGAAACTGGAAGGGTCCCAGCAAGGTCAGCACACTGGTGCGTCAGCGACTACAGCATCGCTGTAAGGTGACTCAGTGAGCACTGGTGCTCGATGGAAGATATAGTTTCTATTTTGTGGCAGAACATCATGGAAGCATGGAATCCTCACCATGGGGTAGCAGGTTATATTTGTATCTTAAGTATTTAATCTTGTTTATTGTAAAAACCTGGCTAAAACAACTTGCAGAATATGTACGTTATGGTTAAAATATTTGAGGTAGTACATAGTTCAACCTGAAAGACAAACTTCCTGTTAGGAAGCATGGGTCTACTCATTTAAAAGTTGGCTCAAGTATTTTTCTTTTGTCAGATTTCTTTTCGGCATTGTTCATTTGTCACTGTACGGAGCCCTATGAAAAACATGGCTAAGCCCCTGACAAATCCCCCCCAAACCAAAGTTACCATTATCCATGCTAACGCAGTCATGCCCCACCCACCAGTGTCACTGTCTGGGTTCTTCTCTTCCCCTTTCTCCCCCCCTATGGATGGCCATGTCACTCTATTACCTCATCCTTGCCAAAGTTATTTTCTTCCACCACCTTTTGGCTTTGCCACATCCATCCATCCATCCATCCATCCACGAACAGCTTATCCTGGTCAGGGTCCCGGGAGCCTGGAGGGGGGACTTGTCCCCATAACATGGGCAGAACATGCAAATTCCACACACACACGGAATCGGGACCTCCAGACCTGGATCATCAGAGAAATGCTACTCGCTGAACTGTCCTTGCTGCAACAAATCAACACTCATAATTCACAGATCACCTCTAAATGTCTGCTTGTGTTGCAGCATTATAGAAGAAGAAAAAACAAAAGTAACTGAATAACTGAAAGGTTCTGGGAAGGAGAATATTTCCAAGAAATCCCACAGAGGGCCCGCAAATTCATTTATTCATTAAGTTAAGAATTATTAATATTATTTGGTCATCTTTTCGAATCTAAATCACAGGTTACAGAAATTCTGAAAAAATCTGAAATTCAATATTCTTCTCAGCCAAGTCACTTTTAATTAAAAAAAGATGTTTTGAACAGTGTGATCCACTTTACAGAACAAATTTACAAACGGTTCAGCAGTTTCCCTCATTCACTAAGAACTGTGTGATGCAGGAAATGCACCCATACATTATGTTGTTCTACAAGGACACAGGACCTTTCTTGTGCCTTTGAAGGCATTCCCTAACAGCATCTATGATTGTCGATACTTCTGCCATGGCTCCTTTACCTGGAAAGAGAAAACGCACATTTAGATTGATAGTTTTACAATAAACATTATGGGATGGGAGACCACCCCTAGGCACAGCACACAGTCACAAACAATTTGGCCAGTTTAAAAATGCCAATTCACCTAAGTGTGTGCAGGAGGAAATCAGACTTCCTGCAGCAAACCCACACAACATGAAAACAGGGTTTAGAGCTGTTCTCCGTCCTTAGGGAGGGGCACTGACAGTAATGCATAGTGAAACTCGGCAATGGAGTAGGGTGAAATGCTACATACTTTTCTCATTAAGGAGGCAGTGGGACACGCTTAAAACTATTAAAACTATAAACATTCTGCAGCTTGTGTTTGCAAATGGGGGGGGGGGGGAAACCATACAAGCCCCGCCCATTATGACATCATCACCAGCTAAGCTCTGCTGATACTGTCCAGCAACCTCTCTGATTTTCCATATATTGGTTAAGATATCAGAATTGGCCGATAATTATTAAAAATCAAAATACTGGTATTAGTGTCAATCTTGTCCAATATTGCCAGCCGATATTGAAACCTAATCAATTTTTAAAGTTAGCAGCCCTAGATCTAAAACATTGCAGCTGAAATAATGGAGACTTTAATGGATGATCTGTCACTTTCCATAGTGGAGGACGAGGGATGCTGTCCGGTTATTTGCCACAAGTCATCGCAAAGTTCTGGCCAGCGACATGTTTATGATTCACTACTAAATGTGTCCCACAGGTGGACCTTTCCACAGAATAAAAATCGATGTGTTTGCCAATTCCATATGTATCGCAATTTTTAAACCAATTTTGCTGAAGAGCATTTCAGGTCTGCATTTAAAGAAAACCTGTGGTGTGAAAAGTGTTATGACTTGCAATGAGAGCGCAAGACACGGGGGAGGTGAAACCCAAGGGAGGAGTTTAAAAAAAAGTGCAAATAGTGCAATTTGTATAGGAACTGTTCTTAGAGTGTTTTTCCACTGCAGCAGGTACCATACTTGTGGTGTTTTGAAGAAGTACCAAAAGTGCAGTACTTCAAGTTTTTGATTTTCCACTGGTGTAAAAACTGGTACCGGGACTGAATGGCATCACAATGTGAGGGAGGGTATTTTGTACTGAATTCAAAAAATGGCTGTAGCATATTATAGGCCTGGATAATGTGCGATATTAATACCAACACTGCATGTTATGTACATGCAATTCTTACGTTGCTGGTCAGCTAGATTAAGATGGGGCTTTTTCATAGTTTCAATTCCATAAGGACATTATTGCGCACGGAGTTTAAGTTCCATTAAAACATTTTTAGTCTGTCACAGAAAAAAAACCTTAGCTAGCTTCGCAATTTTAATTATTATTCCTTTCATAGATTACCTAGGCCTAATATATGTTTAGAAATCTGTTTAAAGTGTACCCATGCTGCTTAAGCATGAGCGTTGCATGCATACTCCGAGACAATCATTTTCATCTTTGCTGTTTAAATCACTCCTAAACAGGTTTGTGAGAAATTTACGAACTCCTTTTCACTTTATAGTACCCCAATATTTATTGCAAAATCACATTGATATACGTACAACAAAATCACAGCATATTAAATAAAATACTTTTTAATTTTCTTGTCATGCAATTCTGATCTTTTTGTTGTGTCCGTTCTTCCGATCAGATCGCAGTAATTTTTTTTTTTACTTCGTTTAGGCCTATCATTGTTTTTTGAGTTCGTAACTATTTTCAAGGCAGCATTGTATTGTTTTTCAGAGGCAGGCTATTTGCATAATAGTCTATTATTTATTCTCCACATGACAATTGTGGAAAGCACAAATAATAAGACAAAGAAATCCCACTCCAACGTACCAAAATACCAAATAAGTACCCCAGCTGGTTTGGCACTTTTGGTACTGGTACTCAACCAAAAGTCAATGGAAAAGGGGAAGTACCAAAAGTACTGTATCAAAAATACAGTACTTGCTACGGTGGAAAAGCGCCCTTATGTTCAGGAAAGAGGTTCAGAGAAAGTTTGCATTAGACACATATGTGGTTAGTTGTGGTTTTAAACTCTCTGCACATGCTTACTCATTCATGATATCACCGTGCCAAACCCATGCATGTGAGCCCCTTAAAGTCAGGCTGCATGCGACTGGGCAAATATATTAGCAGTACCAAATGCGAACAACATCATTTCAGTAACCCATGTTTAAATTGATGTGACCTACACAGTGTCACTGACCTAGACAGTGTCGCTGACCTACACAGTGTCGCTGACCTACACAGTGTCGCTGACCTACA